TTTTTTTTTTTTATCAAATTTAGGGTCACTGTCCATAACATGAAATTTGATGTTCGTAACTTTCATGAGATTAGCATAAAAAAAACTTTATTCATTCCCTTATTCAAGCTCGTTCAACACTTACAAATAATGTCGATTTTTCTGGAAACGAATTCTAAGGGACTAGTTTTAAGTTTAAAAAAAAAAAGGAAATTGTGGTCTGCTGTTCACTCCCCCCATAAAACGTGAGACATTTCAAGCCGTAGTCGTGCAAAAACGGCCACGTGATAAAGCGTGACGCACGTTCAAATTATAGCCAAATTCGTTATATCGCGCTGCGCGTTTTGCAAACTTTGAAGGAATTTTGGGTTTTTCTGTTCCGTCAATCATCTTAGCGGACCTATTAGGAAACACATGTTTACTTGTGATTGGTGCATTTCGATCCACTTTGTTTGTTTCTGTGTTTCAAGGTTCGCTGCTTGTTATCGCCCTGTTTCGGACCTTGATCTACTAGTTTTCTTCGAAGCTTTTTACGATCTTTCTTATTCTTGTCTCTTGCAAAATAAAGCAATGTCTGTCTCCTACCTTCAAAAATTCATGTCATCATCGGGATTTCTTTCGCTATTCTTGCGTAGTTTTGGGTCATTCTCAATTTTGTTTTTGCGGGCCAAGCTGGGCGAATGCGTTGTATTGTGATTTGCATCATGAACTCCACCCCCACTCAAATGATTGAAGGAACAGAAAAACCCATTCGAAGTTTGCAAACACGCAGCGCGATACAACGAATTTGGCTGTAAGTTTTTGTTTTGCTTATTTAAACCCATTGTTTTTCTGGTCTCTTTTGTCGCCATTTAATTGCTTAAGCTCTCTACTATTTGAAGGCCCTCCAACTACATCTGTGTTAAGACTTGTCCAACGTTTAGAAATACTCTCACTTACCAGGCCTGCTCACTTACAGAAAGACGTTCCTTCCTTTTCTCAGACGCTTGAGTGGCCTCTAAACCCCTATAGGACCTATAGCAAGTCATTATAAAAATCCCATATTACCTTTCGGTCTTGGCTTACAGGCTTTTTGCTTTTCTTCGGACAATGTTTTTTGAAATAGCTGAGTAGAGACTTTAATGTGCACGCATCAGACAATTTATTCAGTTCGCGCGTATTGTTTTTATAAGATATGTCTACTCAAAATTATAATAATTTTCCGTTGCTGCTGTTATCTTTGGTATCTACTTTTAAAAATCTCCGCACAGTTTAGGTTTACGAACCAAGACATTATTTGTTTTCCAGAAAAAATTCAATAGTTTAATAAAGGGTTTGACAAAGTCCCCAAATCTATTATTTCAACCATTTTCATAAAACCAACTCTGAGCTCTGCAAATATACAAAACATTAAAGATTAATGTACTGTTTCACGCCGTTAGATATGTGCAGTCTGTCTTCCGTTACAGATATTCACGTTATTTTTGCCACACAGTGCCATGCTGTGCCAGTGAAACCGTTTAAAGATTATCATGTCTAAATTAGTCTGTACAGTACAAATTAAACTGTATAGTAAATGCAAGTCTTACTTTAAATTCAAACGAAAATATACATAATTCCTCTCCATTTCGAGGAACAATTATACATCATAAACATTCTAACGAGATGTTTTTATACTTGACAAAAAAGCAAGGCAAAACACCTATTTATAAAATTTTTCCCTTTATCACAAACAAACTAACTTTGAGAAAACGGGAATCGAACCTACAGCAACCTGATTAGTTTTTTGCAAAGAGCCAATCAAACCGCACCATTTTCGATCCTCCGCACGAAGCAGGGTGGATATATAAACTCCTACCAAATCAAGCAATACTGAATGGTTGAGAGTTCACCTCAACCATCCCACCACTGATGAGAATCGTAAGATTCGAACCCGACGGTCTTGCTTGCAAACTTATACTTACTGCATGCATTGTACATTTAATGTCAGATCCCGAGGGAAACGGTTAGTTTTGTTTTTCCCTCGAGCCTGATGTTTCCCTCGACTTCGTTTGCGTTTCAAGCTCCTGAGTACACGACACATGTGGGTTAGTGTTTTCAAACCAACATGCGTGAACTCCAATTCAATCAGTAACGTGTTTCTAATTAATTGGAAGCAGTCAGTACAGGCCCACAGGTCTATCTGTTATCGGAACTCACAGTCAAAATGCAAGTGTCACCCTCTCTAAATAACGTCATTTGTCTTCAACACACAAACAAATAAACTTTGTTCTAATTACGTGTTTGCTTCTTGGAAATTCAATAATTCAATAAATGTAATAATTCATTAATGCAAAGTGCGACATGATATCGGATCGACTAAGTTATTTTACCTTATTCACATGGCAACAATACAGCGTTATTCCGAATACATGTAAAATATGACTGTATTTTGGCTGTCCAATTGATATTAACTTTTTTAAGGCTCCTTAAGTCTTTCCCGTAGTTCGCTATATAGTAGCAGCGCCTTTATTTATTATCGTAATCTTATGAACTTCTTATTTTAAGCACATTCTATATGACTTACTCGTCAAACAAGCTGCAAAAAGTAGAGACGAAGCCGATGGCCTGAACTGCATTTCAACCTCCTTTATCCGTCAGCTAGAGAACATCATTTATATGTACTGCATAGTGTTACAAAACAAGAAATCTGATGTTTATCCATCAAGAGCCTTTCCATCTTGCTTTAATAAAGGCTACTTTGCCATCATCGACATGAATCAACGAACAGCTCCGCCATGTTTTTTTCTGTAATCACTGCTTTCAAAAACGTAAACTATTTTGAATTGCAAAATAGGAAACTAAATGCCCATGACGCCTGCTGAGCAAGTGATAGAAAACTGTTGTCCGCAGATATCAACTTTGTGCTAGCGAATTTCATTTGGTGTTTTCAAAATTGAAGTTACTTTAGTGAGAAAGTTATATAAGTAAAAATAAAACGGAAAAAACAAACGAGAAAACCCGACCGATTTTTGTTTGATGCGGCTACGATGCATAGAAATAAACAACAACAGACAAAAAACAAAAGATTAAATAGGTAAATAAACTTTCATTTGCCTGTCATCCTTTATCCAGCAGAAGAGAAAACCACGCAATATTTTGTAACTTGAGGTTTTTTTTTATAATTCAGTGATTTTAATTTCCAGTCGAGATTATCAATCACATGGAAAAACAAGAACAGTACAAAAACAAATTCACGAGTCACAGGACACGCAGCTGCGATTATACTACATATCTCAATGCTATTTCTAACAACGAGCTTCAAACACAGACTGTCAGAAGTTACTGCAAATTCCATATTCTGGCTACTGTTAAAAATATCTAAGGCTAAAAGCGATCAAACTTCCAGGGTGTAAATTATGCATCTCTTTGCAAGACCACAGGCTCACTGGTCTCTTTTCGCTAGCGTCACCTAATTTCCATTCAGTGTGTCCAACCGAGAATATTTGCATAATATCGCAGAGAGTTGTTTAGGTCCATATCAACAACATTGTGCACGTAAACTATATCATTTCGCTTANAAAACCCGACCGATTTTTGTTTGATGCGGCTACGATGCATAGAAATAAACAACAACAGACAAAAAACAAAAGATTAAATAGGTAAATAAACTTTCATTTGCCTGTCATCCTTTATCCAGCAGAAGAGAAAACCACGCAATATTTTGTAACTTGAGGTTTTTTTTTATAATTCAGTGATTTTAATTTCCAGTCGAGATTATCAATCACATGGAAAAACAACAACAGTACAAAAACAAATTCACGAGTCACAGGACACGCAGCTGCGATTATACTACATATCTCAATGCTATTTCTAACAACGAGCTTCAAACACAGACTGTCAGAAGTTACTGCAAATTCCATATTCTGGCTACTGTTAAAAATATCTAAGGCTAAAAGCGATCAAACTTCCAGGGTGTAAATTATGCATCTCTTTGCAAGACCACAGGCTCACTGGTCTCTTTTCGCTAGCGTCACCTAATTTCCATTCAGTGTGTCCAACCGAGAATATTTGCATAATATCGCAGAGAGTTGTTTAGGTCCATATCAACAACATTGTGCACGTAAACTATATCATTTCGCTTAGTGCTGTTAAGTTTTATCTGCTCCAATACGGGCCATCTGCTTTAAAACTTCAAACAGGCTTGGAAATTGCTTTCAACGTGCGCTTAAATGGAGAGGACACTTTTTATGTTTTTAGTAGGTGAGTTCGTAATTACATAACATCAAAAATACTCATCACAGCATTAACAAAAATACTGGTGAGTCGGTTTCTTTTTTAAGCAAGCTGGATAACTACTTTAGCTTATTTTAGCTAAAAAGGTTTTTCATTTAATTTCACAAAGCTAAGAACCGCGTAGAAAAGCGGCGATACTTCGTCTTTAGCTGACGAAACTATTTACAAAGTTGAACACATCTACACAAATCACAAAGACCTCAGGCGATAAGGTAATTTTTGTGCTCCGACGTGGGCGATTTTAAGTGAAAGTTTTCAGGTAAATGTGATCAATTCCCTCGATTGCAAGCGAACAGCCGAAAACTTGGATAGGTAAATTTCTCTTAAACTACGTACTGGGCAAACAAAATCCAATAGACTCAGTCCACAATCGCCTTATCACCACTACAACAAGCAGACCAGTCTATAGTCACGACCAACATTCATTTGCGAAACTCTCTTTAAACTGCGTTCGTCACAAATGACCGCGCCCGCAAGATTAAGAGACTCGACAGTTTCTTTTGTGATCCACCGGTATCAACCTACCAGTCAGTCAACATTTGAAAGTATAACTGACATTTTTTTTAAACTTAATACAGTAAAAATCACGGATAAAAAACGACTTTTCGACCGATCTTCGGTCATTTTCAAGTACGAAAAAAGTTAAAAGAATATCTGTGTAAAATGTAGAAATATGTTAAGAACTATAAAAAAATTTTGTTATCGAATTTAATGTCACTCTACATAACGTGGAATTAGTGGTTCGTTAACTTTCATGAGATAAGTATCAAAAAAAGAAACTATCTAAGAATATTTTATCGGAGTTTTTTGCTAATTAACAACATATACAAAGCTTTCCGCTAAAAGTGCCCTTAAGCGAATGCCCTTAATAAGTTCTCTACGTGGTCACTTACGAAGGCCCATTATCGTTAACGACCAGCTAGATGTGGTTGCGACTCTTGGGTGCGACAACTTTTATGGATTCCCCAGGTGGAGAGCTTTGATTGTAATTTTTGACAAACCAATTTTCGCTTAAGGTGTGTTAAGTTTGAAATGCTCAGTTTGAATCGAAGTGTTTAGATTTCGACATTTCGTGATGTGAGTAATTAAAAGACGTGAAGAATTAAATCTTCTCTCTGGGAGCTGTTAAGCCTAATAGTATAAGAAATGTATTACGTCACGGTTAGCACGTCGCATATTGCCGCATCGTGGCAATCTTAGTAGCATTAGCCCGTACTCAATCTTCTTGGTAATTTTACAATTCTTTTCGCGCCCAGTCTGGTTCTCACCTTTATTGCTTCGCCCATCTCTCAAGGCCGATTGATTTTGACTTTGCGTAAATTTAGTTTAATTCTTTTCTTCTTTATTTATATCAAGTTTGGTTTTAATTAGTATTGTTAGTTTTTTAAAATATGCGGATGTTTCTTTTAATTTAATTCTCGGCGTCGCCATGCGTAATCGTTACTGTTAATTTTCGTTAGATTAAGGCATATTGTTGTTAGATTCTTTATATTTGGTCCATGTAAAACAGTTATTGCATCTTTACCGTACATGTCAGATCTCGTAAATAATTTTTTCCGTATACTTTTGCTTGTATCCTAATCGACTTACTGTACATTTAGTTATCTTTTTTGGTAAAGTTTTTCAGTGTTTTTTTTTGTGTGTTTTTGAATTAAAAAAATCCTTGGTAAAATTGGTTTCTCGTGAAACTGTCAAGGGTTATAAAGACAAATTCGAAACTGTACCTAGGGAGTAATCTACTGTGGTGATGCTTTCTTTTTTATTACAAGAGCCCTTTCGCTGCGAATTACGATTCATCTACAGTGTGATTCAATGATCACTTACTCTTTCGGTCACGTGCACGGTTTTCAAAGTAATTGGACTCTAGCCTGGACCTTTCACAGGTGCAGGCATCCCACGTTCGCGAGTGAGAATCGTTTGGACGGAAACTGAATTTTAGTCATCTTCATTTAGAGGACCGTCAATCCACGCCTCTCGCTATTGGCAGGAAAGCCAATAATACGGACCGCAGCTCCTAGTAAATCCTTTGCAAAAATAGATAGCAGACGTTTGACTCGAATCAAACTGTTTCTATTGCGCTGCTTCTAAGCCATGCCCGCAGGCCAATTAGCGCTAGCTTGGAGGGTGACCTTACATCCGAACTCTCAGAGGAGGACTGGTGACGAGACTCAAGGACTTTAACTTGAATTTGAGGGTGTCCGAAATAACGAAATTTGACTGCAACTCTAAAAGCCAATTTTTTTCCTAGTATTCGCAGTGCTAGTTGTACAGAGCAGAGGTCAATTCCAGTCTATTGGAAAATGCAACCTGACATTCTTTACGGGTGGAGGACAGAAATGCCAAAGAGACATGATCATGGAACTGAATAATAACAACATGACCAATTGCAGGTTTGTTTTTAAATGAACAAATAAATAAATAATTAAACAAACAAACTAGTGTACCTAAAAGGTAAAAGAGTGCTGCCCTAGCGTTAATTTGCATCGCCAAGTTAGGTTTTGATTTTAATCTCACGTTCTTCTAGCGCGCGCAATTAGAATACTTCATGCGTAGCGTGTGTGACGCAAATTGCCAGCCAAGTCGTCAGGAGTTTTACTTCGGTTAATTGGAACATTATCTTCTGAAATTATTGTGAAATGATAGTTTAACAAAACCACGGGCGTAGAAGATAATTAAGAGGACTGAAAAACACGATGTTAAAAGAATTTCGAAAAAACACACATTACATTCTTCGAGAGTTTTCGAGACTACCATAGCTTCAGACAAACATGGGTAATAACTGGCGGTGTGAGGAAATCTTGGCTACTATCAAGAGCCATTAAGGCTCTTGCTACTATATATGCCATGAAAGAGAAATTCATCACAAAAGCGAGGATTTCAACTAACCTCAACGACCTTCATGCAACAAAACGCCAGCGCAGGTTGATACATGAAAGCAATGAGCGAGGAAGGAATTCTGGTAAAAATCCGATGGTATTGTGGCTAAAAATCCAGATGCATCGTGTGTAGAAATCGAAAATTTTCGTCCCTGTACAGATTAGGTCTGCTGCCTTGCTCGCTCGTTTCAGGCTCGCTCGAGCGGCAGCAATAAATAAAGAAATAAATAGTTACTTAATTATTGCCTCCCTTAATGAGGATTTTTAAGGATCAGCGAAACAAATAATTCAAATGGAACATAACAACGTTAAGAGCCCCAACGCGTAGGACTGAGGCCGAACCATAATTTGGCTACTTTACGAGCGTGGCCAGGGATTTGAACTAGGGACTACCGCACTGGCAAGTCCAGCCAGCAGTCAGGGAGGGACTTGAACTCGGGGAGTCCGGATTACAAGTCCACATCCAGCAGGGTATGGTTTTCAGAGTTGTGAGTCTTAACAGGTATACAGTTTCACTATTTAGCGTGTTGGAAAGCGAGTCTTTTTAGACCTGAGACCTTTAAAAGAGTGTGAAGGGTAACGACGAGCGGTCTATATGTGTGCTACTAACAATTCTTTTTCACAAAACATCTAATTGGTTTTGATTTTGTCCTATTCTCTTTTGATTTTGTATGCAAAATAATGTGATTCGATTTGATAAAAAAGTCTCGTCTGAAAAAGGTTAGCAAAATTAGCATTTTTTTTCTCAAATATGGTCAGGCTTTGAGGGCTTAGCGTCTACCCAAAGTTCCCGTAAGTGCTCCCCCGGGCCTTAAATACTGACGCAACATCCGATTCAGATCACCTTTTTCCAGCGAATATGGAAATGAAAATACCTGCCTTCAGCAATCATGTAAACATGTGTGTGAAAAACGAGGCGCTTTTGAAAAAGGTCAGGGTTTGAAGGTCTTGGCAGCGCAACCCCGGCACACCTCTACCCAAACTTCCCTTAAGTCCCCTCCCGGACCTAAAATACTGACGCAACATCCGATTCACCTTTGTAGCAGAGAATATGGAAATGAAACTGCCTGCCTGAATAATCACGTGAACACTTGTGTGAAAGACGATCCGTTTTTGAACCCTCTTCGAGGCGAGATATCAAAGCTGCTTGTCTTGTTGGTGTACCACTGCGGCAATGTTAATTCAAATAATGTTCAAGGCGTCAATCAACTCATCCTGACCACCGTCCAGTGTAACCGTGGTGCACTGAATAGCATTGTTAACTGCTGGGATGACTTCCGCTTCGCATTTGAAGCAAACAAGAGTGATACATCACTTTGCAGGTAAGGTGACTACCATTTAACCATACATGGAGTATTCTTTGGTGTTGCCGAAACCATTGTTGGTTCGCTTGGGCGTTGTGTGCTCTGCAATGTTCAATTTCTTTTGAATCTTTTGTATTACGTATTTTGGGACTGCATTCCGTCCGCAACCACTGCCCACCTACCCCTCCGCTAAGCCAACATCAACACTTACGTCTCACTTAGGGCAAAATGTTGGCTTAGGGGAGGGGTAGGTGGGTAGTTTCCCAGAAACGTATAATGATCCAAAAACTCCCGCTATATGCGACCTTTGCACAACGTTTGTGAATCAGCTTCCTTCTTACATTAAGCTATCGACTAAGCTAAGTGACTCTCGTAACAATTTAAGATCTTTTAATTGTATAAACTTAACTGAGGCCAGTTGTAAACGTAATTATGGTATATCTTAGGTTTTCTAGCTTATTCTATATTCGTAATTGTCATATTCTACCTGTGACGTTTCTATGAGCTTTTAATCTATTAAGTGGGATGCAGGAGGGTGCCGCTTTGAGTATTTCTTACATAACATTCTCGAACGATATTGATTTTTACTGAGTTTTTAATCTTTTAAATTATTTTTATTGTCATGCCTCCAGCTCGGATACTAGGGGCTAGCCCAGCCCACGTTATGACACAAATAAATTCATTGATTGATTGAAGGTTTGTGAACCCAAAATCCAGCAGGTTGGACACCTCAAGGATTGTTGCACAATGCAATACTCCTTGTAGAGGACCATTTGATGAGCGCATTTATCGAGAAAAGGGTTCAAATCAGAGAGAGGCTGCATACGAAATAAAACAATGACTGTAGGATTAGGCACCAAAGTGCTTTAATATAGGGCTGAGCACTTTATCAAAACCGTTTACTTTTAAGTAATGTACAGCTCGTTAAAAATACGCGGTGTCAGCAGTTAGCCCATGGATGTTGTAGTGGGCACGGATATAGATCATAAATAAAATGGTGAGCGCTCAAGTTGTTTTTACCCTTTACCCTTTTGTTTTTTTATTGTATTTAACTAAAAGCACTAACTGTAGTTAGATCAAGGCTAACTCGGTTCCATATATTTCTTTACTAGGAAATATGCAGATGCTAAAAAGAACTGTGTAAATATTGCTCGACAAGCCTGCGATGGCATCTGCATGTATATTCCTAAAGATGAGTATAATCCTTTTTGCGATAATCACATGGATCCCCCTGGAACGTCGGACTTGTTTGGTAAGAGAATATGGCCTAGGCCAAACGTCGAACTTTTCATAAGACGAACCAAACTCTGATTTGGGTCGACGTAAATTAAGTTAAGATCGTCTGTTGGGTAAGACGTCGAACTTAGGACGCGTCGGCCAATCAACTGAATCAGACCAAAAAGCGATTTAATTTGATAAATTTTCTCCCGAATGGGGCTAAATATATATTATCATACACATTTTTAATTTATTAGTTTGGTTCGTCGCATGTGAAGATCGACGTATGTCCGGGAGACGATCTTCAAACGTTCTCTCCTTCTGAGGCAGACGGATAGAACGTGTTGGACGATCAAACGTATTCAGACGTCGAAATTTTCATAAACTTAACTCAACAAGTTTGATTCGTCTCAAAAAAAGTTCGACATCTGGCTTGGGCCTAACCAACACACCGTGCCAAGGGCTTGTGACAGAACGAGAAAGCGGCAGACCCATGTTCGATTCCCGGCTGAACTAAAAATAACTGAGGAAACAATATAATACTTCCTTTAAATTGACCTAGGCCGGAAAGTGCCCACCTCTAGTTTCTATCTTTCTGATGGTTTGTGAAATGGGAGAAAGGGGGAGGGGAGGTTTCTCGGATAGGATTTTAGAGTTGAATTTGAGCTTATCCCAGTAGGGAAGCTTTGCACACCTAGTAAAACTATAAACACTACTGACCACCAACAAAAACATTTTATACAAACAAAGGAACAAACACAGACAACAACAAAANAACCAAACTCTGATTTGGGTCGACGTAAATTAAGTTAAGATCGTCTGTTGGGTAAGACGTCGAACTTAGGACGCGTCGGCCAATCAACTGAATCAGACCAAAAAGCGATTTAATTTGATAAATTTTCTCCCGAATGGGGCTAAATATATATTATCATACACATTTTTAATTTATTAGTTTGGTTCGTCGCATGTGAAGATCGACGTATGTCCGGGAGACGATCTTCAAACGTTCTCTCCTTCTGAGGCAGACGGATAGAACGTGTTGGACGATCAAACGTATTCAGACGTCGAAATTTTCATAAACTTAACTCAACAAGTTTGATTCGTCTCAAAAAAAGTTCGACATCTGGCTTGGGCCTAACCAACACACCGTGCCAAGGGCTTGTGACAGAACGAGAAAGCGGCAGACCCATGTTCGATTCCCGGCTGAACTAAAAATAACTGAGGAAACAATATAATACTTCCTTTAAATTGACCTAGGCCGGAAAGTGCCCACCTCTAGTTTCTATCTTTCTGATGGTTTGTGAAATGGGAGAAAGGGGGAGGGGAGGTTTCTCGGATAGGATTTTAGAGTTGAATTTGAGCTTATCCCAGTAGGGAAGCTTTGCACACCTAGTAAAACTATAAACACTACTGACCACCAACAAAAACATTTTATACAAACAAAGGAACAAACACAGACAACAACAAAAAAGCTAGAATGTCTGCGTTGCTAAGGTTATTTCAATAAGTTATGACATTGTTGGGTTTATTTTTCAGACTGCATTCGAACTCTGGGATGTTCAGAAAAAGTTGTTTATGAGGAAGCAATGAAATGTGACAAATTGTCCTCCAAAGACTTTGCAGGCAGCCCTCAAGATTGCAGGTAACTATGCGCTCATTTAGCCGTGAGAGAAGGCTTAAATGAGCGCACCGTCGGCCTCAGGCTTGTCAGTTGAAGTACTCTTACGAGTTACTAAATTCCAGGGATAATTAATATCTTTAGGGTTGTGGGGGAGAAGTAATTTGCTTCCAAAAAGTTCAACAGTTCTCTCTGAACCAAAGTTTGGACCCCCCCCCCCCAGTCAAAAATTCCTGGACGGAAAATAAATACCTTCACCTAAAAGAAAATTCCCGGCCAGGAAAAAATACATGTTAACACAGACGATGATCTATTTTCTCCTATATCTACAGTACGGAACTCCGGGAAAATGCGGACTGTTTAAGAAACAACCTGAATAGCAAATGCCCTGCCTTGAACCAGAAAGCACAGATCTTTGACGATTTGGAAATTTACCTTCGTGGTATCCTAACTTCTCAGCGATTCTTCTGCAGCAAAGCGGAAGTGAACGCAGCAATGCTTCATAGAAGTGTACAAGAAATTGCAAATTGCCAACCAGCGTTTTTTACAGAAGCTGAAAAGTGCGCTGAGCCTTTCAGGAAGACTTACACAGAGGCATCCCAAAAGAAGTCTTCTGGGGTTTGCACGTGAGTATCTTTAAATAACTTACGTCAGAATAGATAACGGACGAAACATTGTTCCCAACATTGTTGGATGTTACATGTTGCGTGCGTTTGCATGCTGTGGCTTGTTGTTTGGAGTGGTTAAACTTTTGACCAACAACTCCCAACATTTCTTTTGTTCCGTGATCGCAGAAGCGAAGTGCAACAATGTTGGATCCGTTTTTGCAGTTCTTCCAACATTGTTGGGACCACGTACGCGCACCACACATGGTCTCCATGTATCCTTCCCACGGTGCACTGCAGGTCCAACATTCGCCAACAATGTTGGGAGTTGCTGCATCAGTTTGCACGCCACTCTGCTAACACTGACACAACAACTCCCAACGTCGTTGGCCCAACAATGTTGGGAGTGGTTGCGTCCGTTTGCGCTTATTCTATTGAGTTTTATACATTAAGCATCTGCATCTACATCTGCTGAGTTTGGTTCGAGTATCCAGTCGGATATATTATAATCCTTGATTTAGATCCCGGCCAGGATTCCAGTCCTCCTTTTTTATCCAGTGCTTTTGTAAAGCGACCACCTTACTGACTCTGGCTATTGCGCTCTGGCGGTTCACCAACCTCGTTCCCAGGGTCCCCCTTACTTGTCTCCCGCAACAAACAGAAAGGAAGAGGCGGGAAGTAAGAGAGAGCCCTGGTAAAAAGGTTGGAGTATCAGGTGCTCTTTGTCAGCCCACACTTTGGGAACGTACCTCACCAGTGTTACCTCACATCTCCCTCATATAATATAATCGTATCAAACGAAACTACTGTCTTTGATGGCTTGGGCGTGTGTCCGCTATGCATAATACTAGTGTTGGTACAACATGAAAACAAAATGGAATATTACCCCTAAGGAACTATTATCGGCAAGAAGATTCCAAATGTCTCGAAGGACCGGCTTCCCTTACTTATTTTTTATTAATATAATTGACCTCATAAATAAAGTAAATACAAAAATATACATTAATAAGTTAAAATAAATAATGATAAATTACAGATTAAAAAGGATATACTGATTGAAAGAAGTGTTGATTTTTGTTTTCAGGGCATTTGCAGAAGCCAAAATATGCCTGAATAAAGCACACAAAGATAGCTGTTCTTTTGACGAGGAAACCCTGAAAGCAGCCACGTTTGACGACGAAAATCCCTTTTGTGAAGAAGGGAAAGATCCAAAACAGAGAAGCGGAGCCGGTGGCGCAGGCGCAATAGCAGCAGCAGTATACTTGTTTTCCTTATACAGCTTCGTATTGCATTTGTCTTCCACCACTTAATGAATCATGAGTGTATTTTTCAAATATCCTTCCGCACGCGTCTTGCCTTCCTGTGTTAGCACACAACATGTTTAGCCAATGATCAACATAAACGCGATCAAATGAAAACCTAGCCTGTGCCAGGCTCTCAGTCAGTGTAGATGAGCGAAGAAAGCGAATAAGAAGCGAAAGAAGGACGAGAGCAGCNAACGAAACTACTGTCTTTGATGGCTTGGGCGTGTGTCCGCTATGCATAATACTAGTGTTGGTACAACATGAAAACAAAATGGAATATTACCCCTAAGGAACTATTATCGGCAAGAAGATTCCAAATGTCTCGAAGGACCGGCTTCCCTTACTTATTTTTTATTAATATAATTGACCTCATAAATAAAGTAAATACAAAAATATACATTAATAAGTTAAAATAAATAATGATAAATTACAGATTAAAAAGGATATACTGATTGAAAGAAGTGTTGATTTTTGTTTTCAGGGCATTTGCAGAAGCCAAAATATGCCTGAATAAAGCACACAAAGATAGCTGTTCTTTTGACGAGGAAACCCTGAAAGCAGCCACGTTTGACGACGAAAATCCCTTTTGTGAAGAAGGGAAAGATCCAAAACAGAGAAGCGGAGCCGGTGGCGCAGGCGCAATAGCAGCAGCAGTATACTTGTTTTCCTTATACAGCTTCGTATTGCATTTGTCTTCCACCACTTAATGAATCATGAGTGTATTTTTCAAATATCCTTCCGCACGCGTCTTGCCTTCCTGTGTTAGCACACAACATGTTTAGCCAATGATCAACATAAACGCGATCAAATGAAAACCTAGCCTGTGCCAGGCTCTCAGTCAGTGTAGATGAGCGAAGAAAGCGAATAAGAAGCGAAAGAAGGACGAGAGCAGCAAAAACGTGAGTGAGCGAAAAACGGCGGGAAGGGAGGTGTCACTCTCTCTCCCCAGCTCTCACGCAGTTTTTCGCACTTTTTTCGATCAGTTTTCCGCATCATCTTGGAGCCTGGAACATGCTGATGAAAACCGCTCTTTGGGCAAGCAAATGACGTTTTTCTGGGTTGCAACATGACAGATTCAACATTCCAAAAGCAACATTGGAAATGCACTTTCAGGGTAGGTCGGCCCAAAGGCCCGACGGACACACCTAATATGCTTGACGTTTTACAGTATCCACAGGGCTCCAAGTCCTTTCTTTAAAGAATTCTTTTAACTTGAGAATCGAGACAAATTTTGAATGTATTCGCTGGTATGCATTTTACTTAGCCATGAGCGGATCTAAAGGGGCCCGGAGATCCTCCCTTTTTTTTTTAGCCGGGTCCCCCTCTTTTCTTAGAGTTTGAATAAGTGCCCAGTCACCTCCCCCCCCCCGCCCCTCCCACTTCCTTGAAAATCTGAATCCCCTAGTGTATGCAGGGCAAAACTAAGCTTTATACGGCTTCTAACAGACGTGCAATCAATCATATGAATGAACAAACGTTCACCTGTATTCTAGTATATTCCATGCAGATTCACTTTCGAAAATGTACGCGGAATGTAACCGGCACAGACACACATTTAAATTAGAAATAAAGTCAAATTGTATTAACCTGAGACAGGTGTAAATGTCCTTGACACTGTTTGCACCAAGCCCCTATTATGTATTACTTTAACAAAATGGTTTCTATTACATTGCCAACCAAAATTTTTAGCACAAAACAATTTATCTCGCAACGAATGATCATCTCTCTTTTTTAAGCAGTAAACAACAATCATCCGAGCAGTCAATTATACTCAAACAAGGCCGAAAGGATTAACAGAGGTGGAAAAAGATGAGAGGACCCAGCCCCACTGAATCTAAGTCAAACGTAAAAGATTTGTCGCAATCGATAATGTAGTAGTGAGCTAAAGTAAAAGGACGTCGCCATGAGGACCGCAAAACGTTTGGTGTGACAAACCTGACAGTAACTTGACAGTGCTACTGAGTTATTTTTTTGCCCTGATCTTCACTTAACATCACTGAGGTCTGGTTCTTTACAAAAAGATGCGGCGGCTGGTTTTACGTTTTGCTAGTTATGTTGCTGGCTGGATCATTGTGCTCACGCAAAGCGAGTATTGGGGGTGGAGAGATTTTCGCGGGCAGCGGATACAAATTATATCGATTAAGAGTTGATTAATGAGTTGTCGCATCTTAGTCATTCTCTATTCAGATCATTCTCGCGGATTTACATCCAAATTCATTCTCGCGCGATACAATAAGCCAGCTACGCAGGTAGCTAAAGTTTTAGACTGGCTGAGGAAAAGTTTATTTGAAAACCAAAGTAAGAACCCATTGAAAGGGCGAGGGAAGGTAAAACATGAAAATTTCTTTCTCAACGACCAGCGCCGCAGTTCAGAGCAAGGATACTAACAAGCACCGAACCCTACCAAAATCAAGTTGATGACTTTCAATTTAATATTGTTGAAATGATTGCATGATTGGAAGGGAAATCGGCGTTAAAAATTTAGGGCCCAGTTGTTCGAAGGCCGATTAGCGCTAACCCAGGGTTAAATTTTAACCCAGGTTTCTATTTCTTCTGTTCAAAAGCATTTTTCAGGATAACTTTCTCGACCCTCTTTAGAGCATCAAATCATCAAATTGTGGACAACTTAATTTGCTTTTTAAGCTTTGATATCTGAAATGAAATTTTACACTAACCCTCGGTTATCTTAACCCTGCTTTAAACAACCCAGCCCAGCTTTTGTTATGTTACTTTCGCTGTTATTTTACATATTACTTATGCCTTAAATAAACGCGCACCAACTGAACACATTGCTTGGTTAGGCCAAGCATACCTGGGTTGGGAAGAAGGCAGAAAGGGATTAACCATAACTGTTTGTTAAACTGCATTTAATGCAAGGTATACATGAAGAAATCTCCAGTCCACGAAGAAAAAGTAACATTCAACAACAAACTCGGCATTTCAAAGGTGAATTATTTAGTTACACCGACAAAAAAAATCAACTTGGAGCAGACTAATACTTCCAAAATATGTAGAATCAATCGATCTGTTCTTGGTGTGGTAAATGACTATGGTAAATTAGGTAATGAAAAGTGAAGTATATTTTATAAAATTGGCATAAATCTAATGGGATTAATGGTAAAGCATGGCATAAGAACCGTCGTTGTTTTTGTGTGTTAACTACCCAAGTCATGCGCACACAAGAGACGAGCTTCTGCTGTTTTTATAAATGCTTAGCGATCACCAAGAGGAAACGTTAAGCATATTACCAAGGCAATAAAATAAAGGCTTGCTGACAGTAATCGGCTCCTACTTGCTGAGAAAGATGTTGCAATTGACTTTGTGGTACTTCCTCCCATTTGGTTTCCATCTGTGCAGAACGTGGTGTAAGGATATTGGATAACGTCTCCGGTCTTTTCATCGAATGTGCAATAAGATTTCTGCGCATCACTGGAGCAGTCTACAGCCGTTCTAAAATGCCTAAAAAATAGGAAAAAAGAAAAACAAACAATGGCATTAAGTCGATTAGAAAGTGACAAGGGATCTCTTCAACCACGAGGGAACTATTCGACAAAGCTGATTCAAAACTACAGTTGAAAATCTTGTAACTGATAATCTAACGAGCAGAAAACGAGTGTACTTTGGCGGATGCTAGGCTGAGAAAAGCGCCGACATTTGGCGACGCTACCACTGGTTTTCCCGCCAAATGACGTCTGAGAAATTAGAGCAAAAAATCCCATACTGATGACGCGTCACTACCCAGATCTGGGTAGTGCTTCCGATAGGTCGTGCCGCGCCGCCTTGGGAAATTTGATTCAACAAAGTTTTTTGCGGAGATCCTCCGCCCCTGGGTCCCAGAGATTTTGGAGGTTCCACCCTACATTATAGGCTACAGGGAAGGGCCACCTGACGCGTGATCAATGTCAGCAATAATAGACCTTTTTACCGATACGGCGACTATATTGATTGGATTTAAGGAGTATCCCGGGATACTCAGGGGGCAGGAACACGATCCGATATTGGATTTCGGAGTTGCGTAGGGAACCGGGGAGAGCTTCAAATTTACACTAATCGATAAACTGACACCACCATATAAACGGTCATTTTGAGATTGGTCATTTGACCAAGTTTGTGCACTAAGGTTGAACAGGGATCAAGTTATGACTCTTGAAACGTGGTTAAAGAGCCATACAAACCTCTGTAATTTTGTGACAGCGTCCTTCAAAACCTTATAAACTCTTAATTTTTTTCGCGATTTCTGTGATATTCCTGGGAAAACACAGTGATTTTCGAATTAGTTCCTTCCAAGTAGTAGATGCATGACGAATTTTAAAGTTTAAAAGAAAAAACTGAAAAATTTTAAAGAGTTTATAAGGTTTTGGGGGACGCTGTCACAAAATTATAGACGTTTGCAGGAGCCGATTACGATTAATCTAGTCGGCTCCTGACGTTTGTATGGATCTTTTACCATGTTTCAAGAGTCATAACTTGATCCCTGTTCAACTTTAAAGCACCAAACTTGGTCAAATGACCAATCTCAACATGACCTTTTATATGATGGTGTCAATTTATCAATTAGTTGAAATTTGAAACTCGCCCCAGTTCCCAAAGCAACTCCGAAATGGCTAATACCCGCATCAGTATTTACGCGCGCCTAACGGGCCAATTTTTCTATAAATTTTTCTAGAAAAAGATTGTAATGGGAAAAAAAGATCGTTGTGCTGTGTTGGGATGAAAAAGTAATCGCCTTTTTCCCGAGAAATATACATTAAAGCTCTCTTTTTGGCCGAAAAGCGCGCCTAAATACTGAGCGAGTGCCCCCTGGGCATCACATAATACTCCTTTTATCTAATAAATTCAATATGGCCGCGGTATCGGTAAAGAGGCCTGTAAGTACAGAATATATTTTTTTGATAAGCTGGACCAAACTTGACGCAGTTAAATGGCTTGGCGTCTTGGTATCTTTGAGGCCACAGATAATTTCTGGGGAAGTAGAAATGGACTGCAATTCCGAACAAAGTAGAATTGTTGTTAATAATAATAATAATATGATTAATAATAATAATAATAATAATAATAATAACAATAATAATAATAATAATATTGAAGATGAAACAACAACAACATGATATTAATTTGATATCATGTTGTTGTTGTTTCATCTTCAATATACTCACTTTGGAGGTTGGTTGGCCGCATCTTTGATATGCTTTAAGGTGACAGCGCGATGCTGTTAGTGAGTTCTTCACTTCTTGTGTGCCTACCATTACTTGGCTGTGTAGCCGCGTGATGCGGTTCCAGTCGAGACCCACAAATTGGCCCTTGCTCACCATAGAGTCTCCAGTAGCTGCAGTGGTTAGAGCATCCGACTAGATCACGGAGGGTCGTGGGTTCAAATCCCATCTGGGACTCGGATTTTTTTTCCGAGTCCTCCTCAAATTAATAATAATAATAATAAACTTATGTAGGGCTAATTCCCTAAAGTTCATTAGAGCTTCACATTAAAATGAGGAGTTGTAAAAAAAACCCGAATAATCAAATAAGCAATAGTAAATTTATATGTTAAAAAGCTATTTTAAATAAATGTGTCTTAAGCTCTTTCTTGAAAAAAGATCCGAAAAATTTTGAATGGTCTCTGAGCTCATCTGGCAACAAGTAGATAACGTAGAGTGGTAGCACGTCCACAAAGTCCATCCCTGATCAAATTGAAATATGAAAATCTACCTTTGTTTTCATTTGACTTTTAGTAACTAGAGCCTACTCGCTTTTTGAATATTCTTCAGAAACGGATAAGCGTTTAAGAACAAGGTAGACCTTTCTTGGTGGAAGGTCAGTGGTGAGCAAAGAAACTTAACAAGTCTCAAAGCATTCAGAAACATACACGCATACGCGGTGTGGACCTTTCGAGCAATATAGATAATAATAGTAACTGCTGTGACCTGTGTAAACTTTGAGTCCTGTACATTTAGAAGCTGAATACTTAATACCTAGTTCATCTTTATAAAATTCCGTGAGGAATCCATTTTGCCTCAAGGCTAAGCACGTAGATAATTGGATGATCTTTATTGCCTTGTGGATCCATCCTTGTTGTTAAAATGTCGTTCAATCTCACATAAACGAGCTAGTTCATTGTTCTTCGAGTATATAGTTTTAGGTAAGATCATTAATTTAAAAATCATGTAATAGATTAGTGCCACTACTACATGAGAAATTTCTGCAATTTGATTGGCTTAGAGCAGTGGTATGTCAGCGTCATTTAAAATACCTACATGTGAAAATTACAAACCTTT